TTTTGTCTATTTGAAGTATTTACCATTTCTTGAAGCGCTTCATATTCACAATAATATTGTATTGCTGCCAGCGTTTGGAGAAGTTAATCACGCCCTTGGACACATAGTCCTGATTGCCCACATGCACAAAGGTCAGATCCTGTAGAACCAGACCGCTGCAAGTGATACACAGATATTGTTAATGATATACACATTATATATATTGAGCTATAGCTGGTTGAGCTAGCTTACATATAGGGTATACAGGGTGGATTGGTTTCGGCCAGCGCTTGACGATACGCACGAAAACTGGAACTCGAATCGATGAGCGCACAAAAGGAGCGCACCTCCTCCGCAATGCCCTTCTGCCACTCCAATCTGATACGAAATGAAATATATAATTTGATATTTATTTGAATTTATATTAATCCACAGGCCATTTAGCTGAACTTACCTGCGTATGGGGCCCGAGTCGAGCGCCGATAGCAGCGCCAGATACGAATTGTAATTGTTCATTTTGCGCAAGTGTTTCATGATCTTAATAAACTTATTCACATGCTTCTCCCGCTCTTTGGCGTCCTGCAGGCGCAAGATTTTGGAACGTGCCCAATAGGACATTTTGTTAAAGTGCTCGGTGAACTTATTGAGATTAGGTGATTTCTCCTCGCACTGATCTTTGGCAAATAATAATACTTCGGGTATTTCGATTTTCTGAAAGAGCTCCGCGTCCAGCAGCGTCATCTGTTCGGCTATCTCCAATGACTTCAAGTCGAGCAGACTGGGCTGATTGTTGCTATTGCTGCCGCTGCCGCTGCCGCTGCCCAATTGATCGGGTATATAGGCATAGCTACGCTGATCCTTATATAGCGTCACCTTCTCCACGAACTTGTTACGCAGCAGCTTGGCCAAATACAGCTGGCCGGAGCAGACCAGCTGATAGACAAACTCCACCAGCAAACTGAGCAGCTGGCTGGTTAGATCCGTTGAACTATTTGGGAAATTATATTAAAATGTTCAATTAGGATTTCAATTTCCATTTCAATTTCAATTTCATCACTTACGTTAGATCGTTGACGACGCGCACCAGGAGCGAGAAGGTCTCCTTGGCGGCCTTCTGCTTCTGATCGTGCACCTGGCAGAAGAAGTATGTGTATCGATGGGTCAGCTTCTCGATCACATCGATCGGCTGGATGAAGGTGCGAAAGGTGGTAATGAAGGCCTCGCTGAATTCTGCATGAACGAAATGGACAACAGATGAATTTTGATTAGGCTGAGGACGCTTACGAGATTTTGGGACGGTGTTCGAACTATGAGGCGCATTTGTATTGCTCTTATTAGTGTTAGTATTAGTATTAGCATTAGTATTATTATTATTATTATTGTTATTATGAGTGGTCGAGCTATGGCGTCGATGCTGTTGATGATGCCTACCATTATCGGCCTTCTGGACGCGACTGGCGTGCACGATCAGTGCATCAATGTAGCCGCCCTTCACCTCGGGCCCATCCTCCTCCTTCTTTTTGAGTATTAGGTATGGCGTTATGTCGATCTCTTCGAGCATATTTGGCAATTGATTATCGACCTCTCCCTCTTCCTCCTCCTCCTCCTCGTCGTCTTCCTCCTCCTCTTCCATCTCATCGACCTCCTCCTCCCCGTCCAGCTCGGCAAGCTCATCCTCTCTGGCCAATGGATCCGGCACCAGCGCCTCGTTCGTATCCAACAATTTGGGCGTACTAATGGGCGTGGCCAGTTGCTCTGCTGCGCCGGCCAACGTTTCGCTGGGCAATTGGTGCGAGTGGCAATAGAAGGTGGAGCCGCCCACGTTCTCATTGCTATCCACCACAGCCGTTGCCATCGCTGTGGCCGTGGTGCTGCCCGTTGGCTCATCCTTCGGATTGGACGCATCGTGCAGCTCCTCGGAGACGGTGGTCATGCGGCTGTTCCGTAACGCCGTATCGCCCATCGCCATGGGCTTTGGACTGGCTGGGGGTGTGGTTATGATCGCTGGCGGCGTCGCTCCCGATAGCGTCGCCATCGTCGTTGACGACTTGCGCTGTTTGTAGTTCTTCGGGGGCAGCGCAGGCGGTGTATCCAGATTCGGCGACAGATCCTTGCTAACCGACATTATGCTAAAGCAAGAACGAGAAGAAGAAGGAGAAAAGCAGTTAGAGCAATTGGCATGGATCTATACCACATCTAACATGACTTACTTGATGGTCTGGCTATGCGACATGTTGCGGCTGGTGTTGTACGCGTGCACCGTATGCCGATTCGGCCCTACGGTAGTCGGCGCACAGATTTCCATGTAAGCCAAAACTGTGTGCGTTTCAAGTGGTGGGGGCGGAAGAGAAGAGAATAGAAAAAAAAAAACAAACAAAAAACAGAATGTTAATGCACCTGTCACAACCATTGAAACAAAATGAGAAAAGGGAAACGCAAACGCAAAACAAGCGCAACGAACGAAGCGATCAAGCTGACAACAGTTCCAATCAATGAATGTGGGGGATCTGCGCTCCACTTGGCTCCATGTGCCATAAACACCAGTTACTGATAGAACGCAGAAGCGTTAGACTATATGGATTGATATAAATATACATATATATAGAAATGTACGTACATATATACGTTGAGCAACTGGAAGTTGCTTAGGATATATTACGTATATATATTGCATATATGTAATATATATATCTATAGTAGCAGAGTTTACAATTATAAAATGGAATGCTTGGAATTGAAACATATATAATCCTGGCCAAATAACTTCTTAATAATTCTCAAAAATTATTTTTTTTTTTTTTTAATATTAGAATTTATTTTTGCAACGTTTCTTTTACCACACTTGAAAATAAATAAAATAATAATTCTCCAGATTAATCATCACTGTAATATGGAACGTGTGGTAAAGAAACACGTTTTAGCAATTTCCAACAATTTTATAATAATTCCTAAATTTATAAGGCCAACTTCCATTTTGCAGTTTTTTATCTTTTCAGCTGCAACAAGTTGACTTCGCTTTACTCCATCACAGGTTTTGCCTGTACAGTATTCATTCGCTTTGACATATGCAACAGGTAAGCGCTGAACAACAAACAACATAAGCAATAACACAACTGAAAGAAATTGAAGACGAGAGGGGTGCGGCTCATATATAACCAAAACGTATAGCGAAAAAGAACAAAGCTCAACCGGAACCAGCACCGAGCCGGAACTAGTTCCGATGCAACAGCAAATCGTGTTGGGGCGCAATAGGCTGCAAAGCAAGCAGAATGCTTCTAGTAAGCTCTATGCATTTGGACTCCAAGCGAAATGTTAAATGAAACGCTTTGAAATGAAACATTTAGCTCGCTAGATTTTTATATTAACAAAGTCTGAATTTATCATTACAAAATGAAACATTTTAGCCATTTTCTAAAGCTTTGAAACAATTCACTAGATTTCAAGCAGCTATAACAATTTTATTTATTTTTTTTTTTTTTCATAATGACATGGAACATTATGGGAATTGAACATTTAGCCATTTTCCAAACAATTTTTAACATTTCTCAAGAAATTAAGACCGAATAGCTATCTGAGTTGATCATTATGAAATGGAACGTTTGGCAATGAAACAGTTTGAAAATAGTACAGCTTGCAAAATGTTTTGTTACCAGCGTTTCATTCAAGATAAGCCCAATTCCAAAATATCCTGGCAAGTGTTTCATTGTCAGCGTTTCTGGAAACTAATGGAATTGTTGTTTATTTCTTCAAATATTTAAATCGAAAATATTCCTGCAAACATTTACTTGACAAACAGCCGAGGAAGATTGCAACTTTAGATTTCGAAAAAAAAAAAGAAAAAATAGGATAGAAATAACAAGGAACGATAAAAACAGAAACGAAGTCAAAAACCAAAAACATGGCGAACTGAGTCAGCTAGCAACTGGACTTACCCGAGAAGGCGACACTCTGAAACACTAGATGTTGATTGGAACGATAATTTAGATGGGTTAGAGTTTTGCGTACAACAATTTGGCAAGGTTTTTTTTTAATTTGGTATTGCTCAGTGGCGATATTGTTACGAGTGCTATAAATAAAAGTGTGTGTTGCTACAAATTCTTAACTGCCCACTACAAAAACATAGCTATATATATACATCGATATATAGAATATATATCTGAATCTGAAAATGTTATATATGTATATATATATATGCATGTATATATAGATGAATTTGTATTGCTGACTGATTGTTGTTGTTGTTGGCTGTTGGCTGTTGGATGATGGTTGTTGTTATAGTTGACTGATTGTTGTTGCTGTTGTTGTTGTTGCTGCTGCTTGTTGTTGTTGCTGTCTTCATCTGGGGTATGGGATGGGTTTAAGGGGTTTTTGGGGGGCGGGACACGTGCTTGCAAGTTTTTGTTTTTTGTTTTTGTTTTTCTGTTTTTGTTTTCTCAATTGATGGTGCTTTTGTTTTTGTTGTGGCATTTGATTTAAAGAGCCAAACAATAATTTGGTTTAATGTATTGCATGTTCTTGTTGTTTTTGTTGTTGTTGTTGTTGTAAATGCGAAACAAAACAAACTCCAAACAAAATGTCAAAAAGAAAGTCATCTAAAATGACTTCAAATGAGCTAATTGTGTGTGTGTGTGTGCGTTTTGCGGCTAATGAGCTTTACATATCAAACACACACACACACACACACCCATAACATAATCTTAAGCTTAACAGAAAACAAAACAAAAAGTTTCAAAAACTCACCGCTGGGCATTGCTTGTGGCGACACCTAGCGTTCAAGTTCGGCAAACACAATTCATACAGAAACATGCAAATTGTTACACACATACATAGGCAGATATGTATGGATATGTACATGTACACACACCAATGCAGTTTACACCAAATTAGAGAGACAAAGGAATCGAAAAGAAAAAAAAAATACAAAAAGAAAAAAAAACCAAAGAGAAGACAAAGAAAAAAAGAAAATATAAATATGTGTGCGCATTTGGCAATTGCACTTACTGTACTTCTTCTTCTCGGGCAACGGCGGCGGCTCCTCCGATTGCCTGCCGAAGGCGCTGCTGCAGCTGATGGGCAGATGGGCGCTGCGCGGCGGCGGCTCCATCAGGCTGTGATGCTTGGAATGCCACTGCGGATGCGTCGACGACGCATGATGGTGCGGCGACAACTGACGCAGCTCTGCCATTTCGCTGCAATGTTAGAAAGAGAGAACGAATGTGTATAAAAAATATGCAAGAAACCACAAACTTCCGTTAGATTTGTAGGTATTCGAATATTTCATGCTGGCAGCGCTGTCTCGTTCGCAACTTAACGAAAGCATTGCCAAGTGCGAAAAGTTTGCTCTAGTCGAGACTGCTCGACTACGAGATTCCCTTCCCTTTCCTTCCCTTCCTTTCCTTTCCCTTCCCTTACCTAAGGAAGAGCTGATATTTCAAATCATTTCATGCTTCTTCATGTATGCATACATAACAAACTACACGCACACACACATACATACGCAAAAGCACATGCAAACTGCGCAGTTGACGCAGCGACTATGCTTGGGTTGCCTTATGGCCATTTATGGGCTATATTAAGTGCTATACAAAGAACTAAGACTTATTTTCGAAACGACTTTTAATCGATGCCCCTAAAACGGGAATAGTTATCGAACTTTTTTGAAATAAACTCAATCTGCGCCTGCATAGAAGGATATACATATGTATGTACATATAAACAGGCTCTGGGATCAAGTCGTTCGCACATACCGACAGCCATTCAGACGGACGGACTCAGCTTGTCGCTGCTGTTCAAGAATATACGTATGTATGCATATGGGGTGTGTCACGCCTCCTTCTGCCTGTTTTACATACATATGTGCATCTTAACATTTCATCATCATTTTCAATGCCAACTTACAAATTGCAATCGTCGAGCACATCCATGGCCGCATCGAGCAACTTCATGGCAGCCCGTGAATTCATTTTAGGTGGCAACGCCGGCGCCAATTCCGGCGAGGAGCAGTTGCTGCCCAGCGCCTGCAATTGCTCACTGCTAATTGTTGTTGCCGTCGCATTGCTACTGCTGCTGTTGCTGTTGCTGTTGCAGTTGATGTTGCTGGTGATGCTGTTGCTGGTGATGTGGCGTTGCGTTTGGCTCAGCTGATGGAAGTCATTGTTGCTGCTGTTGCTGCGACTCGTCGTTGACGCCGATGTCGATGTGGTTGTTGTTGTTGTTGTGTTGGACGACGACGTTGAGGCGGAGGTCAGCTCGCTAATGCCGAACACAATCTCCGAATTGCTGCTCGATGATTTCGTCGAAGACTGCACGCTGTGCTCCGAGGAGCGCTTCGAGACGCTCTGCGTGGAGGTGCGAAATGACATCATCGACACGAAGCCTAGTTTCAGGAATAAAATATGAACTTAATTAGTATGGTTAACTTTAGCCACGGCAAGTTATAAACAACATGTTAACAACATTAGCAAACTAATAACAATAATAATGATGAAACTCGCAAATATTTAAAGCTAAACAAACACAAAATAAAAGGCTGCAAAGCCAAACGGTTTCGTTCAGTTGAATCGGTTCGTTCAGTTCAATTTTTGTTTTAAATTCTCATTTAAGCTTGTATAACAAAGGTTTCGTTCAATTGTATCGGTTTGCTGCTTGTTCTGCAATCATTTCGTTCCTTTGAACTATTTTAAAAAGTTTCGTTCAGTTGAATCGTTGCGCTCGTTGTCGTTGCATCGTTTCGTTCAGTTTACTATTGCGATTGCGCCAAGTGTTTCGTTCAGTTCAAACGCTTTATTCGCGTGTTTCATTCAATAGATTTTTAGTCCTTTTTTATTTAAAAGCTGTAATGGAAACAAAGTAGTTCCATTTGGCACTTAAAAACGGTTCGATTTGCAGCCTTCTCATACTATACACACATATACATATTTTACAACAATGTAAAATTAGACGCTTAGACTAGACTAATGCAAACAAACAATAGTAATAAAAATAAAAATTCAAGCGAAAAAAAAAACAGTTCTATCTAAAAGATATTCAGAAAGATACAGCAAGTATACATAAAATGAACTGGTTCACATTTGACTATGAAATTCTTGTTTAAAAAAAACCTTCCGAAAAATAAATATTGATCAGAACGATTTTTTTCAAACTTGTATAACTTTTAGCCAAAAGGAACTAGTTCGAAAATACATAGAGACGAGAACGTAGCGATAGAAGTTGCTAAGCAGTAGAAGTATAGAAGAAATACCCGATTCATTTGAATGACGATTGCTGGTTAACTCAGCCGCCGCTTTGCGCAGTTCCGTATTGACTTCAGTGGCGCCGGAACCAGAACCGGAACCGGAGCCTGAACCAGCACCAGAGCCCGGTACAGGGTCAGAGCTGGCGGCCGACAAGTGCGGCGTCAGCTGGACGCTGCTCATGCCCGCCTCCTGGGACAAGGCGTTGGCAGTACCAGCAGGAGCAACTGCAGCAGCGTTCGGACTCTCTGCTGAGCGCATTGGGGAAGTTGAGTTGAGGTTTGAGTTGGAGCTGCTTCGGTTAGTGGTTGTTGCTAGCGGATACTCACTGTAGCTGATGAGCTTGTCGACATCGTCGTCCAGCTGTTGATGCTGCTGATGGTGCAGCGTTCTCGATGGCGGCTTCTGCAATTGATCCTCCTCCTCGCGCGAATGATTCAGCGCCGAGTCGAACGAGCATTGGCTGTTCTCGTCGGGTGAACGGGAACGCACTGAAAGGCTGCAAATGAACAAACGAACCAGTGAGTAAACTTTTAATGCGAGACAGTAGTTCTTAAGGTGAACCATTGGGTTGATAAAGTGAACGCGGGAAGGAGCCAGAAAGAAACCAATTGAACGAATTACAAAATAATCATGTAAAAGAGTCAGTAAATGAACTAGTTGGAGAAAATTATATTGATCACGTAGATCAAGAAATATAACTATTCAGCTAAAGTTCGAGAGCTGAGTGATGCGTATAAAGGAAATCAATTGAATAAATTAGCGAGCAAATGGATTATGACGAAAATTAACAGTTAAAAGACGTCAGGTAAGAGAGTCAGTTGAACCAGTTAGAGAAAAGTGAACAAGTATTATGAATATTTGAATAAAGTATGGGAACCAGGTAAATGAACTAGTTAAAGGATGGATCATCGAAGGAAAAGGATACTTAAGTGTTATTGAATCAGTAAAAGAGTTAGTAAGTGAACTAATAGTGAGAGAGAACCGATCAAATAAAGATAATGAACCAGTTACTTAGGAATACGAGCTGGAACATCCAGTAACTATAGTTTTAAATATTCAACTAACCGATCTACGCCGTAGTTAAGCAGCGAGAAATTCGAACTGCAGTCCAGATCCGAATTGAGGCTGATGTTGTGCGACTGCGCATAGGGCAATGGGCTATTCGCCTGCGACGAGTGACAGGTGCTGTTCGCATTGGTATTGCTATTGCTATTGGCATTGGCATTGTTATTGGTATTGGTATTGATATTGGTATTGGTATTGGTATTGTTATTGGTATTCATATTGCTATTGGACGCATTGACACTCGCCAGCTGCGATTGCGGCTGGCTGCGACGCTTTGGTGGTAACGGCGGCGGATTGCTCGACCGATTGGGCAGCGGCGGCTTTGGCGGCGGGCTCGTGTCGCGCAGTATGCTCTCGGTGCTGTGAGAGCCGCGCATCGGATTCACATTGCTCTGCTCCAGTATGTCGCGCTCCTTGGGCGTCAGCGCAATGTCCGGCAGCGACGTTCGCTGCGCGACTGCAGCCGCCGCGGCCGCATCGGCCGGCGTATGCAGTCCGGGCACACTGCCGCCCGCCGTGCTGGCGGCGGTCACGGCGCCCATTATGTCGGCGGCGGCACCGATGCCGCCCAGGCCACCGCCGCTGTAGCGAAACGTGCACTGATCCTGCTCCTTGAGTTTGCCCTGCGCCAATGTGACCAAATTCTGTAAGCAAGAAATGGAAATTTTAGTATTTTATTTATTTAAATACTGAATTGAGGCTGAGTTTTCAAGCTCAATTAGAGCTTTTGCCGCAAGCCAAGCTTCTGGATTTTTTAGTACCTCATTTTTAGTATCTCATTGGAAAGGTTTTGCATTTAGCTATCAACTATTAATTAATATATAAAAAGCATTTTTTTACTTGAACTCTAAAAAGATTTTCAGTTAGACTTTCGTTTATGGGTTTCTATGAATTTCAAAAGTTTCTAAAGTATTTCAATCTCTTAACATTTCTACTTTACAGCAATGTAATCAGCGTGTTAGTTAACGTGTGCATTGTAACTAGCGGTTAATTGAGTGCACAGTAACAAGCTATATAGCCGGCCTTTGCGAAGGCCGATGATAAATGACCAAGATTCAATTAAAAGCCAACTAAAGCGGACAAAGCGAAAACGAGAAATAATGGCTTAATGGCTTAATTGCTTTACATGCGACATCGTGCTGATTAACTAACTGACAGTTAGGTACGCAACACTAGCTGTCAGTTAGTCATAAAGGAAAATCAGATCAAATGCAGGGCTAAGCAAAGTTTGCTTTGACAAAAAATAAGACGAGGGCTGCACAAAGGACTATCCTCAAATAGATTGAGCTTATGTTTGCCTAACTTCCAGTTAAGCTTTACTGGCAGTTATAGTATACTTACGCGCACAGCATCCTCGAGCAGATCGATGACCTCACGGACATTCTCGTTGCTCAGGGAGGCGCATTCGGTGCTCTTTTCGCTCAGCATCACCTCGTCGCAGAGCTTGATGAGCTTGCCAAGCGATTGATACACCTGCTGGGTGGCCGAGCTCATGATGGCACTGTTCTCGTTCAGTGTGTACGACTGGATGACTGCAAGCAGAGGGAGAGGACACTTTTGTTATTGCCATGATCTGTTGGGGGGGGGGGGATTACTCATGGCGAGACTCACCGGAATACATGCTGGCAATGGTCTCCAGTATGACGGTGCCATTGCCAGGCAGCACTTCCAGCTTCTTTCTGAGTATGACATCGCGAAAGTGTTTGAGCGCATTCGAAATGTCTTTGACGTGCGTCTCCAGCGTCTGTGTGGACCGCTGCACCTCCTCGGTGGTGGGCGGCGGCTTGGTGGCATGCTTATTGCGCGGACTGTGCGGCGAATGCGACCGGCCGAGCGTGTTGTTAGTGGTGCGCATCAGTGAGATCTTCTCAATTAGATCGTCCTTGAAGGAGCGCGCTCGTCGCGCCAATTTCGTGCCCTTCAAACTGTTCTTATGGCCGGACGATCCACTGCCGCCACCGCCACCACCACCACCGCCGCCTGAGGACGACGACGACGATGCACTGCTCGGTGGTGCAGGTGGCACGCCACCGGCTCGTCCGCTCTGCAACGGTGTTGTCGGCGGCTGTGGCGGCGGCGTTGATGATGTGCTGGAAGAGTGAGCCGTGTAGATGCTGCCACTGTTGATGCTGTTGTTGCTGCTGCTGTTGCAGCCACCGACGCCGACGCCGACGCCGCCGCCCGACCCCGAGCAATTACTGGGCGTGGATGGAGAACTGATGCTGCCGTCTGTAGATAGATAAAACATTATCTTCAATTAGCTATTTTCGATCTCTATATATTGTATATATAATTTCAATTGGGTTTTGCTATGGAGAGCTGCATGATCTGTATTTGACTGTTGGATTATTCAACTGGATATTCGTTTCGTTCTCTGAGCAATAATAGGCAACCAACACACACACACACACACAGACCTATCACGCATTCATGATTCATTGCATTCAGTCATGATTCAGTTGTATTATGCAGCGCCTATTAAGCACTTATCGAATTGCAAGAATACGGTTCACGTACCACTATATCACAGCACGTTCTCATAGCGTATACCCTGTAATCAGCTATGAATATCTGCGATATCATTTGTAAACTTCAATTGTAAGCTTCATCTACACTTTGTCAGACCCTTAACTAGATTCCGAGGCAGTTGGGATTACCTCTGTGATATCAGATGGAATAAATATATTTTATCTAGAAGTAGATGGTGCTAAGAACATCTCTATATATGTATATATCATATTTATATTTTCTTTACTATATATCATATATATCTATATATACTATAGTCTCAATTGTATAAAAACTGAAAATCTATATATAATTCAAACAAACTTAAATGCTCTTGCTGTAGTGCATCAGCAAGTCGTATATCTCTACTCTAAAAAATACATTTTTGAATTTAATCATATATCGATCATAATCGAAACTAATATGCATATATACATATATAATGAGTATGAATGTAATTAGTGATAGACGTGGTTTTTTATTAATAAATAAATATTGATTTATTTATTTA